AAAAACCCAAAGACAAGGCTTATCCCAGCCCTTTAACCCCCCTACAATTTGTGTATCAGCACAGGAGACTGAGGAAAAGCAATATTTACTGCCCTGGGGGCCTGTGCCCACCACTGAAAACCCACCCYTGCCACAGGGAATGAACAGAAATAATATCCAAAGCTCACAGGTGGCTGCTTGTATTGAAAATAAATCGATGCTAATGCATTCAGGCGTTTTTAAAAACAAAAACGCAGCAGATCTTGCGGTATTTTAATCCTCAKAAAAGCTGCCAGTTCTGTTTTTGGGAGGCTTTGCAGGGTGCTGTCTGCTGGGGTGGAGAGGGGTGGGTTTTCTGGGGCTGCTGTGGGATCACAGGGACATTTGGGAAGGGGGCAGAGCCCTTTTCACTCTCCATATGGAATCAGAGCAGTTTGGGTTAACTTCTCCCATTCCAGCCTGGCCCGAAGAGCTGAGCAGAGGGGRACGCACCCTCTTCACATTTGGGGTTTATTTTAAACACTCCTGAACTAAACAAATCCTGTCATCACTCCCARATATCACAGAAATGACAATATGGGAAKAGAAATAGAACAAGGAAGTGGCAAYGCTCCGTCGGCACCAAATYYYYGAGGTGCAAACAACCCAAACCYGAGCCYTGGGTGCTTTGGGCAGCGGCTCCTTGGGGCTGTACCCCAAGTACAGGGGTGGGACTGGGGGCAGTAGGAAGGAACCTGGGGGTGATTTGTCATGGGTGACATCAAACCCCCCCAGTGCCAGCGAGCCCGGCTGCTCTCGGTGTTTCACCCCAGCAGTGATTTCAGGGTGCCCGTGCAGGGGGATTTGCACCTCCAGCCCTGATTTCTGCTGCTGGCATTTGGCATTTGGCCCCTGGCACAGCCTGGTCACCCTGGGGGTGTCACTGGCAGGCACCAGCCCCGCCGAGCAGCGCATCCTCGGCCCTAATAACGTGCAGAAAARCTGCTTGAATAGCACAAAACCTTTCCATACATTTTTCCCTGACCCCTTTTCCTTGCTGACCTGGTCCTCGGCTGCCCAGGCCGGTTCTGAGCGTTCCCGGGGTGTTTTTTGCCGCTAGATGGCAAGAGCAGTGCGGGCAGGGACCAGCTCCGAGAAACCCAAACACTCCCTGCCCCATCGGCCGGGGCTCGTTAGGGGCAATGACATGAATAATTTGAGATTTGGATCCTGAGTTATTGCTCAAATGAGAAAAAAAGATAAAAATCGCCGACCAAGCCCGGTCTCAAAATGTGCCCTGCATGGATCAGAGTGATCCAGGAGTTGCGGGCGTTATTGCCAGGGTGAAATGATCAGCAGGGTTAGTTTTGCTGAAGTTTTGGGGCTGCCTCTCTTATTTCCCTGGAGGGAAATTCCCTCCCCTGACCCTTCTCAACAAGTTTGGCTTTCAGAGTCTATGGGTTTGGGATCCAGAGGAGCAGATTCCTGAGGGCCCCCATCCCCCAAACCCCTCTGTGAGGAGTCCCTCACCCTCCAGCATGAAGGAAAAGCAAACCAAACCCCATCTGCCCCTAAACTGCCGCTTTTCTCATCACAGAGTTTGACCCTGACCCCACAGCTCCGGAGGGAAGCGCTCTGGGAAGGGGCAGTGGCTGTTCCCTGYYCYRCAGGGAATGATCCAGGCTCAGCAGKGGCACAGCACGGGGCACAGGGGAGCAATGTGGGCACACACTTGGGCACCTGATTGCAGAAAATCCCCCTGGCAGGGAGCAGAGGCCACATCTTGCCTTCTCCAGGCCACACAGCAGCATCTGGTAGCATCAGGGGAAGCCAGGGCTGCTCTTTGGCTGGTGACGCCAGAGAAACAAGGAAATGTTTCAGTGACTCGTCCCCACCTCTCTGTCCCCTTCCTGCCACCCTTCGCACACAAAATGACCTCCCACACGTGAAATCTATATTTTTACGGCTTCTGTTTCCAGAGAAGTGGCACAAAATCCGGTGTCACAGAGCAGCACAGAGCTGCAGCACATCCCTGCAATCCCAGCACACTGAAAATAACAAATAAACCAAATAATCCCTTTTCCAACCTCTCTCCACGGGATGTCAGTCCTCTAAATAAGCTCCCAACACCAAATCAAGCCCTCGGACACCTCCCCCTGTTACCCAGGAGCTCCAGGAGCTGCAGCTGCCCCTGCCCCATCCCCAGCCTGCTGTTTCACACTCTCCAGCCACATCATCCTTATCTTTAATTTCTGAATTGACCCCCCGGAGAAAATCTCTGCGTGCCTATTTTTTATGTGTTTATCTTGTCATTTCTTTAGAAAGATACTTGTTACAATATTTTTTCCCCTCCTTCCCCCCAGCCCTGTCGGAGGAATCTACTTGGGTAATTTGTTGAGCGGGTTGCTGGGCCATGCATTATGCATGAGATGCAATCTTGATTTTTGCACTCCACTGTGTGCATTCTGAAACAGGAACGGCATCGTGCCCGCACGCAAAATGAACATTAACAGCTCAAAAAAAAAACCAAAAACACAAAACCAACCCAACAACCCAACCAAATCCAGGAAACAGAAAATGCCCATTTATTTAAAGGAAAACAAAAAAACAGCCTCCACTTGTTCAAGCTGTTCTCGCTGGGATTGCTCAGAGCAGTCAAGTTGTTGCTGCGTTCGCTCTGCTGGGGAGTAACCAGGCTTGGAGCTGCTTGGTGGGACACAGAACGAGGTTGTTGCAGTGTCCAAGGATGGGG